GTCAATATAAAATAAATTAAACGCTTTTGAGATGAGAATTATTTATCACTTTTTTAAAGTTTGAAGTCGGTTTTATTTTTTTAAAGTTTTATTTAAATACGTCTACAGTTCTTAATCATAAAGTTTTCCATCGCGAATTCGATTAACACATTATCTTCTTAGTACTACCGCATTTCTTAATGTCTGAAATTGTATTATAATACAAGTCAAATAAATATATGACAACATTAAATAAATTGGTCTTCGTAGTTATATTTATAAGACATAATCACGTTTCCAATTTGTCACATCATTATATTGACAGGTCGAGTTTTCATTTTGAGAACTTCTTAAAAATCGAACACAAAAGACGTACAGCATCATCACAACGGCCGCGGATGAATAAAGAAAAGCAACTTGTTATGGGACCATAATCTCTCTGGCGGCACTCTCGCATACTGTAAAGAGCTAGAACATTTTCCTTAAAAGAAATAATGAACAGAGTTCAACCGCTCAGGAAAGAAAGCTTTTCGTCGTTTTTGCTCTCAGAGGATTTATGGTTTATATATTCGACCTCGCCGCTTTTGCCGCAATGATCTAACTTCGCTATCGTGTATGTAATGTATTATGATTTCAGAGAATAGCCATGTAATACTGTCGGAAATTGCCACGGGCGCCCTTTTATAAGGCTTTGTCATTTTATGAAGGTATCGCTTACTGTTTGTTTCACTCCAAGGTAATATGAAATTAGTTTCAATCGCGTTTTTAAGTTACAATAAAATCATTCTTAGAACATAAAAATACGGAATATGTTAGGGTTTATAATTTATGTTTATGTTTTTCTCATTACCAAATAATTACAGTAGTCTGAAAAAAACAGGTTATTGATTAAATTTCAAACCATATGAATAAGAGGAAAAACGTAGGTAAATTACTTAAATTAATACGTTCTTCAGCTAATAAATCTTTATTTTTCATTTCGGCATTTCTTTCCTAAAAATTTCCTTGTTTCTTTCAAATAAAAAATCATACTTAAAATATTTAAAAAAAAATTATATAATACCAACTCTACAACAATCTAGGTATCGTATTATACCTATTCGAAATTAGAACACATTTTATTATTGGAAAAGTAGTTGATTGAAAGTATTTGGAATACGATAAGAACAACTTTTGAGTTACAAAATATAATAATTATATCTCCTGGATCATGTTATCGAATCAGTTTTTAACTATCTGATCATGTTCAAAGTAGATTTAGAATGTGGTTAATATACTATAAAAAAAAATTCAAAAATTAATTAAATACTCTGATTATTTAAAGGTGTAAAAGTGAAAATATGTAGAAAAGCCTTTAAAAGCGAATACAATATGCCAAATCCCAAATCCTATAATATGATTGCATGAGGAGAATTTATATAAGCTGTAATTTAAAATTCAAATGGGTCGCTTAATATTTGAATAATATTCCTACAAAAGAACATATTACGGACACTAATTTAATGAAAGAATATTTGTATAACACAATGTGGTTTCATTCATATCCAATTTGGTAATTAATGTTGTCTGTAACTTTGTGCTGTTGATTTCTGAGGAGTGCGCGGCAGGGGCGAGCGGGACAGGAGTTGAAGACGAATGCCCTCCTGTCATCGTATTATGGGAAGGAGCGGCCGATATACAGATAGGGGACATCCTTATCGTCCGCATCTCTGACTCCCTACTCCTCGACACACAGACACTTGAGAACAAGAACCTCACTGCTGAGTTGAACACTTCACATCCCGATAAAGACAGGTAAGTAAGGTCTTATCACATGTTTGGCTATACTTATGAGCCCTATATCGCATAAGTAAACATAATAATGTTATTATATAATGACTTCAAACGCGGATCAAGGCGTGACTCATCTTTACCTTTTCACATTCAATTTACTTTGAAATCTTATTGTATACACTAATACACGTAATAGATTAATATTGCTTTAAAGCTAACTATTGGTTGGTGATAGCACTGTAATGAAATAATATTTGGTGTACTGTTATAAAAATCAATGTTGTCGCGTTGATGTTCTGAACCCAGAAAAATCCTCTGGAATTTATTAAAAAACCGATAATAAAAATGTTACATACCTAGTAATAGGTACATCCGTAATACAATAAAAATGTTATTTGTTTAGTTATTTAACATAAGTTGTATACACTGTCCGTATTTGAACCAATAAATTACTCTTAACGTTCAAAGTATATAAACAGATTAACTTTTAATAAAATCTTAATTATTTTATTTATGGAGTAAAACAGTGTTGTCCTATAAATCCCACGACTACGATCTTCAATAATAAAAAACTAAAAGAGAGAGATTTAATTGTAACAAATTTTGATTACATAATGATATTTGTAAACGAATTTTATTTAATTTAGTCTTCACAATTTGTAAAATAGACTACAAAAAATAAATACTTTGATATTAACCAACACAAAAAAAATTACTTTGATGTCTGTGGAAGGTCCGCACGCGACGATGAATAAAACATGTCGCGATATATTTGAAACAAAGTTTTTTTTTTTTATACAGATTGCGTGACTTTCTTTTGCAGTAATGTCAAGTTCATTTTAACGTGATATTGCATTTATTATGGCCGAAATTATCGCAATTCTAATGCAGGAGATAATTTTTGCTTATATGGTTTAGGTATAATAAAAGCTTACTTAAAATGAGCATGTTTGTTTTATATTTTAACTATTCAAGATAATAATTCTCAAATTATATACAATTAATACAAACTATTGTAAAACTATTATATCTGTGACCCTGTTTTGTTTTGTATGAAGCAAGCTCATTTAACCAGAATGGAGTACATAAAAATTTAATTAAATTTCACGTAGATACGTTAATACGTATACTTTTGTTTACAGTTGATCTATGTCAGCTTTGAACTGTAAACTATTCGTTTAAATTAAACAGTTTCATTGAAATGTAGGTCCCACAGCTATATTTTATAATTTAGGAAAGATTTGAAAACAAACAAACTACTCTTTGTTTATGAAAAATACCTTAATCTGTAAGAATGGTAATAAAGTAAGGACATGATTACCATACCACTTTCTTTTATTCGAGATTCCAAAAGGGGACTTGCATATGTTTTTATATAATTACACAGTGGTGCATTTAAAAATCTAGGCTTGATTTTTTTTTAATATCATAAAAATTTGTTTTTAAATATGATAGTCTTCATTTGTTTTAGATTTTTATATTTGGTTTAACTCAATAAATTTTAGGTAAAATATACACATGAACACATGAAAATAAAAAAATAAGTACCTATTGGTACTCGTATTAACATTCGCGAACAGCTTTCCGCTACTTTAAAGAGAAAGAGAAACACTCTTTTTTTCAATTTATACGACTCTCTTTTGTCTTTCTGTTTCATTATTTTTATTTAATCAAATTACATGCTGTAGGTGACACGATTCATTCATTTATTTTTTGCATATTCAGTCACAGCGACCCATCATATAGTGGCCTTCTCAAACATGGTCCAAAAAAGACATTTCAAAATATTTTTTCGTCTGTCAAATACCTTAATATATTACAAACCAACTTATATCAGTGAACCTTTAACTTTATACCGGTGTTGTTAGGTTGCAAAATTGAAACACATTGAAAATAAACATTTTATATAAAAAATATCTCGATTAAGGTGGTCGTCATTTGTTACCGAACGCACGAACTGGCGCGGGCGGTGGGCGACACGCAACGGATTATATGGTTTTGCCGATGCCATATATCCACTGAATCCGCATTATTCATAGATTCTTCTTTGAAAAATTGAGTGTTATTGACAGTTTTGATATAAAGCTCTGAAGTAAAATATAGTAGCTTAATGAAGTAATGCGTATGACATTATAAACATTTTCATTGGTCATATATTGCGTGTAGGCGCGTGCGGCCAGAGCGAATTGGAGACGGGGTGATAAAAAAATTAATACAAAGATATGAAAAATTCGTTGCGTGTTGTGCGGCCGGTGAGTACGTGCGGACAATATGGACGTTCACCTTAAGACAAAGAATAAGTATTAGTTTAGATTATCAATATTATTAAAAGCTAAAGTTTCTTGCTTTCTTTGTAGGGAGTAATCTTAGGAAATACTGACGGAAGCGGTTACTATAGGCTATAATTTAGCGATAGCAACAGCTTGTTAGCCAATAGCTTGTTACATATAATTGTGAAGTCAAAGCGGTTAACGTTAAGGATCGCACAAGAGCAATAACTACAAAATAGGCGACGCTTCTGTAATCTCTAACTATCACATCCACCTTTTAAATAACTGCTGAGATTCAAGCTTTTCTTACGAATGAAATCCAATAAAGAGAACGGGCAATAACTCAACTCTTACTATACCACATACATTTAACTTTACTAACAATAATAAAATTTCTCGAAAGTCATTAACTTACATAACATCAAAATATATATATATATATATATAATTAAAAATGAGAAATAAACATCACATTGTAAGGCCAAATCGTGAATTTGCAAAAAAACTCTAGTAGAAAAAAAATACTTTTTTACCCCTAAACTTCATAATTTTATCTATTTCTTGTTGTATATAAACTATTTACTATAACCTTTTTACAGAGAAACTTGACAAATATATGAGTCAGTTTGTATGAGGGAATTAAGTACCATTATCACTGTAACCCCATTTATAGCATATAAATAATTGGAATTTGAATAAGCAGTACTTTCCTTATTCATAACATTATGCGTAAGTAATTAATGAAAAAAACATTTTTGCCGTACAAATCGCCATTTATATCTATTTTATTACAGACCTCAATCACATAGACTTTTGGTCAACTTTAAAAAAAATAATCTCCCAAATATTAATTGCTAGTGTTGTATTTCCAAATAGATATTTATGTATTGACTATTTCTCAGGCAACACAGTGCACTGCAGCCAGCAGTCTATCAAGTAACTCGGCAAGGCCATGAACACTGTGATGTGTCTGATGGTATGTTGCTAGACATCACACCGTTGGACGAAGGTGGTGCCAAACTGTTCACACTCTACGACAAGGATCTGGCAGAGGGCGTCAACTTACTTATAGGTACATGTAACTCTTTATTTATTTTTAAACTAGCTTTCGCCAGCGGCTTCGCTCGCGTGGACCGACGTGAAGTCAGCTAATACTCTATCTGTATACCGAATTTCATCAAAATCCATTCAGTAGTTTCGGCGTGATTGACGGACAAACACCCAAACATCTAAATATCCAAACAAAGAAACTTTCACATTTATAATATTAATAGGATTACATTTAGGGAGTTTGTCCGTAGATATGTCACCTTATAACCGCTAATTTTATCGTTCAACGTCCAGAAAAAATCGCCCGTATGAAAAACTATGGTCTACTGGATTATTGGCAAAATCTACTTGTTAACTTTTCGAAATTATGTTATGGTTTTAATGATACAAAATCGGATCTCTTATATTAGATATCGTTCAATGATCAATTTTTGCAAAAAGTTGGGACTCGAACTTTTAAAGAATTATCTTTAATGACAAAGATATTTATCATTATTGTATTAAATTCCAACTCGATCTTTCTAATACTTAAAGCAAAGTGGCTGTGACTGACGGATCGCCAGACGGGCAAATGGAAAATTGGTTCTATCAGAAATAAATATTAATTATGGATTTCTTCTTCAAGTGGTTGAATAGTTTAGTTTAATCTAGAAATAATTAATAAGGTTAGATTAATGGCAAAGTATTGAACAAACCAGTTTTTAAAATAATTTTGGGCACCACTTCCTCCGAAATAAAAACACAATATTCGCAATTTTCATTTCTTGCAAAAAAATGTAACCTCATCTTAATCGGATAATGAAACAAGACTCGGCGTGCTATCCATTCGCCTAAGAAGGCCGTTTAATACGATTAGATACATGTATTTCTCGTAAGTATTAACTGTCGCGACAAATTCGTATCTCCTTAGAATTAAGTAATGAGCTAAAACTCAATAAAATTAATTTCTTCTGATAGATACGAATGAATGAATAATTTATAAATGAATGAATAGTTTGTATAGGAAAATATAATTGTCGCTTTTACTATTTTCTTTGCGTTTTCTTTATAATTATTCACCTTTCAAAAAATTTAACATCAAATTAACCAAATCAGTCGACCTAAACCTACACTATACAATATGAATGACGACTTATTTTTGTTTGTTTGTCCGTCAGATAGATTATTGAAGAATGTTTAATATATTATGTGTTTTTTATTTTTTACGTTATGAATAAATAACGGCGATACATTAGGTTGAAATTTCGGATGACGTCATGCTTTTGAACATCTATATCTATATCTAAATATATATAACTCAAAGGTGACTGACTGACATAGTGATCTATCAACGCACAGACCAAACCACTGGACGGATCGGGCTGAAATTTGGCTTGCAGGTAGATGTTATGACGTAGGCGTCCGCTAAGAATGGATTTTGATCAATTCTACCCCCGAGGGAATAAAATAGGGGATGACAGTTTGTATGAAACTTTGTCAATTTTAAACCGATAGGGCCGAGATTTTGCATGCATAAAGCTACTATGAATTAAGCATCCTCTAAGAAAGGATTTTGAATAATTTTACCCCCATGGGGATAAAATAGGGTATGAAACTTTATTTCAGGTATTTTACACGATATAATGAATAAATATTCGTTAAAAATGCTGCTCAAAGTAACTTTACCACGCGGACGAAGTCGCAGGCAAAAGCTAGTTTTCTATAAAACTGACGTAACGAGCCCCCACTCCTCAACTTTAATATTTATTATCTAAGCCTTTGTTTAAATTGAAGCAAAAAAAATACGTATCTAATTACTATTATTCGACTGACAGCCTAAATTGTTTTTTTTACCCAGTCGTCATCCTTATTATTGAAGTAGCTTAAAATGGTTATTTGTGCGATGTTGCAAACACAGAAATAAACCTTCATATATATAAAATTTCTGTGGATGCAAATGATTATAGCTTCCCAAAATTATTCTCTCGCGTAAAAGGAAGACATTGAAAATGGACTTTATCTTTCTCCAGAAAAACCCTTATAAATTTCATTGGAGTCTGTCTGTCGTAAAAATACTCATGTAATACACTAGACAGGAGGCTTATTCTGAAACAGAGTTACGATAATAGGAAGTTCATTTTTCTTTTTTGATACTTAAACTAATAATGTCGTACATGTTTTACTTGCGAATAAGCTTGCGTAGTACAGGAGACAACATTGTTAAAATATGAAAAAAGCAGAGTCGACGGGCAAACTTATTCTAAGCAATCATTCACACATGTCCTATAATGTACGTCGGATCATTTGATATATGGTGTCGTGAGAATAACGTGTTCACGACGCTACTGTCATTTATGACAAATGTTTGTTTCCACAGTTGTATCTGAAAACTGGGGTTCGAAATGCGTGCGTTTGAAGGTGACAGTGAAATCGGATAACTGCGGGGACTCGCAAGACTGTTCCGGAAAGGGCGTGTGTTACACGAACGTTTCCATGGTAAGTCAATTAATTACCGCCATTCTATTATTGATGTCTTTATATCACAAAACTATATTAAACTACGTCGTTATTTAACCTATGATTTCACTAAACTTGTGACGTGTTTGATGCTTAGGCAAATGAATAAAGGCTGACTAACCTTGAGGACTTGATTTAATAGAGGGTGAACAAAAAAACTGTAACATACAAAAAAGGAATACCATAACAGTTCGTATGGTTACCTAAATAATAATATTGAAATAGTTAAATAGAAAAATTACATACCCCTTTTCTTCTAGTTTGGTAAATAATATAACTTTATTATATTTTATTTGATATAGTATACATTTTTCTTGAGTTCAAATTCGTAAGCATAAAGAAAACAAGTAATATAGGTAATAAATCGATTTTAATGCGTTTATACAACAAATTGCTATTGATTGAAATTAAGTATGTATAATGTTTCTATCTCGACGAATTTTCACGAACTGACATTCATAAAGAAAATTACTCAATATTTCAAATAACGAAAATTGAATAATAAAAATAAATTATATTAAAGATCAAAGATAAAAAGTTTTCATGCGGAAATCCGGGACGAAATAAACGTTTGTACGACGCATCGTTACAAACTGATATTTCAAAACAAAATAAGATACCATTTTCCGTCTTGTTACTAAACGAGAACAAAAGTTAGTAATTAGTTTAAATCGTTGGCCGTCTAAAACAAATTGATAATGAAGGAAAAAAAAAAGTCAAGTAGAGACTTGTTGACTTATTTTGATCGGGTCATGGTTTAAACTTGGTGCCATGCTCCCCTGTCTGGTAAGAAGGCATTGTCATATATATTATTAATTGTCATTTCTGATATAAATCGTGTGCTAAAATGCCAAAAAAGGTTATTACGAATTATAAATGGTTTGCGCAAGCGTACGTCAGCCAAACCTTATTTTAAACAAAATAAAATAATGACAATTATTTCTTTATACATTTACAAATGTTTAATAGAAATACACCATGATCGGGATTCACATTTGAGAAAGATGGACATCCATAGCTATAATTTACGTAATAAGGAACGATTGTATATGCCTAGAACAAGAATGGCAAAGGTACAAAAACAAGGCATGTATAATAAAATTATAATGTATAATAAACTTCCCCTCAGTATAACAAACATGAATGATGATGAATTCGAAAGAACGATAAAAAAAAATATTCAGCATTCCTTATACTCTTTAAATTAGTTTATGTATGTGCGTTATGAAGAATATTCATATTAAGATGGGTAAGATAGGAAATTGACTAGATATCTGTGGTAGATGACAAGATATAATAATCATCAATATTTTATGACATAAAATTATATATTACCTATAATCTAATTTGTGATAATAGGTATATATATATTATAATTTAAATTGTAATGTTGTAATTTAATTGACTGTGATATAATTGACCTTGACATTGTTAAAATACTTAATATATTTGACATTCCTACTTATAATGATTTTATATTTAACCTTTATATTTAATTTAAAATGCTTATTGTAAAAGACTTGCCGAGTGTAACCTTCTGTGTTATATGGCCAATAAATTATTTGATTTGATTTGACATTATCATTATATCAGCCGTTCGACCCCCACTGCTGGGCCAAGATCCTTCCCCCATGGGTCACACGGCGATTGGTCCTGCGTTGCCCGCATCCAGCGGCTTCTCGCGGCTTTTATTAGATTACTAGCTTTATTTTTATTTTATTTTATTATTATTATTTTTTTTTTTTTATTTGATTGGTACATAAAACAGCCACAGGCCAATACAAATGTACACAACTAGCTTAAATATTATTACAACAATGTTTTAACCATTAAACAAAACAGAAGTTGTAAAATCAGCTCGATAACAAAAGTGAGAGGAATCGAGTTTAAAAGATGCATTGAGAAAAGCATGACAATCATGCATTGCATAACAATGAGAAAGAAATATATATATATATATATGTCGTAAAGTCGTGCGGGGCCGGCGGAATATATATATATGTGTATATATATATACGATACATATATACACATATATATATATATATATATATATATATATATATATATATATACACACAACAAAAAATATAGATACATACCTTCATTATTATATTAATATTATGCTTGCCCTACTTGCAAACATGCACTGCATAATCTTGGAAAGAAAAAAAATATATATATATATGAATAAAAAAGAAAAAATATTAAAGAAAAAATATTTTTCCACGTATACACTTATTCCCATACACACATAAACGTACTCAAATGTTTCCATAGTTAAGTTCAAGTTTTAGTTTGGTTAGGTGGAGGTAGAAGAGTCAATTTTATGCCTTTTTTAAAAAGTTCCCTTGTCCCAAAGAAAATATCAGTTTTGGAAAACTTTGTATTATACAGTCGTGGAAGACGAGTTAGAATCGAGTTAATTCCGTAATTCGTTTTGTGAAACGGTATATGAAAAAGTGGAGTGTGCCGCGTACGGTAATCGTTTTCATCTTTCATCGTTTTATAATCTTTCATCGTTTTATAATAAGATAGTTTTTGCTTAAAAATATAACGGAGGTAAAATTTAAAATTAAAGCATTCGCTGTTTTATTTTCTTTCATTTTAAGAGGATTATTATAATTACTTCAGCTGTCTTCAAAATTCAAATGTTGTTCTGTTTTCCTGCCATCTGACAAGTTGTTTTCATCACGTCTTTCAAAATTATCAAATTAAAATTTATAATGAAACAAGTTTCGAGAAATTTTGTCGGCTGGAATTTGAGCTAATTTTATTAAAATTGCATTCAAAAGTAATATTGTTGGTTTGGCTGTGTACAGGAAGGTTATGAGTGCCAATGCTGTCCTGGTTTTGCGGGCACCCACTGCGAAGAACGTGACGCATGCCACCCTTCTCCTTGTCTCAATGGTGGTCGTTGTTCTGATCTGCCACAGCCAGTTGATGGAATTTATTATCAATGTTTTTGTCCTCACGGTAAGCTATAAACAATAATACGTAGTTAATTACTAAAGATAGGTTTAATAGCTTTTGTCGTTGAAAATAATTTTGTTTTAAGATAAGTTAATATTTTCGTACATCAGATAATATTTATATATTGTGTTTTGTGAAAAAATTGAAATGTACCTACATTAACATAAAACCGATGTACAGTAAAATTCAATCCATATTTTATAAGCTACAGAAAGCCGTACAGATTTTCCAATCAATTGGATATTTCTCTGTGAGATTTTAGTATTACGAGAGATCAGCGAGTCTACCATAGGCCCTCTTGAATTTTAAGTTGGGATGCAATTAAAAAGTTTATTATTATTATATTATAGTATTATGTTAAGGTAAACTTTGCCCTTTTTATATTTTCATACTAAGCCAATAGTATAATTACTAGGTAAAGAAGAATTTTTAAATGAATTCGTTTCCTGTTTTTCTTTTATAGGCAAACAAAATACTAAGTTTCTGAAATTTGTCACTCAAATACGCAATATTAGAATATTATAAAGACTTATATACACTGAAAAAGTTGCGTTTGAAATTGCGGCGTTGCGGTGGTCATTTTGAGATCGTACGAGTATGTCGGAGTTTTTATGAAATTAACTTAAGAAAATTTTAAGCATTTTAGCACTTGTGTTTCTGTTTATCTGAATCTCGTATATCTCGAAGTCTACGAGAATTTCTACTTAAGACCTTGTGAAAACGAATTCAGATTTCAAGTTAAATGTTGCATGAGTTTTATTTTATTAGTAACACTATTTCTTACCAACGAGTACTAATATAACGAAGCGTAGCGTTACGATATATTAGTTGTGGTTTCAGGTCAGGTTTTCAGGCTTAGTTTTTGGTCAGGTTTTATTGAGAATGCCAGAATAAGTATTACTATGTTATGTCTCTTAGGTTACAAGGGTAAAAGATGTGAAATGGACCCATGTTATACGTCACCGTGCCTCAACGGTGGTTCGTGTATGAGTATCACAATGAATGGTTCGGCAAGCTACCACTGCTCCTGTGCGGATGGGTGGGCGGGCGTGCGCTGCGAGTTATCTGTCGCGGGCGGATCATGTTCGTCCAACCCCTGTATGAAGGGTATATGCGTAGAGCAGACTGACAATGACGTCGATGACTCACCGTACCGATGCTACTGCCAACCTGGTAAGTTTACTTTCTTCTAGCTTAACCCTAAAGTGTATCAATGTGACCATGTGAAAACTTTTAAGATATATAATTTCAATAAAAAAAAGGAATGTTTCGTAAACGAATAATTTAAACATCAACCTTTTAATGCCTACTCGGCTGGGCGCGGGTTTTCAATGTGGGTAGTAGCAAATAAGAAGATTGAATCGCATGATGGCATAGTAATTGTAGCTCATTCAGTCTACGATTTTTGCAAAGACTGGGCATAGGTTGGGTGATCTATATTCACCGTAAAAAGAAGATTTTTTTAAAGCGCTAAAATTCCCTTTGCTCTTTTCTTAATCTCACTCGCTTATAATAATGTTGGACTAATTTAGTATTCATTGCGACACCACAAAAAGCGCGGTACAAAACTGTTCCAATAACATCGTGATCGAACAATTTCATTTTTTTTATAAGTTACAATATACAAAACGTTATCTGACCAATTGTCGACTAAGGCCATTATACGCGACCATTTGGATAAAACGTGATTGGAATTTTTCATGAACCTCATTTACTACACATAAGTATCGTATGAGAATATATCATGTCACCTCCTTTGTCTCAATAAACCCGCAAGTGAGACATTTTCCATACCCCTGCGTCCTATTTACACTACCTTAAGCTCAGTTTACATTTGTCCATAATTTCGTTCAAATTTTATCATACTTTATTTTCATAATGTTCTCTTATATTGATAAAATAACAGTGATCCTCTTATTTTAATCTTGTTCACTCTACATGAGACACTATTTTTTAAAGTAGATTACGTAACAAATTTGTAAAGCAACCAAATTTTGTAACGTAGCATAATCTAATTTGCTAAATATGTAAATTTTTGTGTGATTGTAAATAACATGCTAATGAAAATAAAAAATAATCTGCATTTTTAATGTCGGTAACTAAGCAAATGTGAATCTGGCTTAAGTGACATCCATTCATTGCCCTCGCTACGCTGACGTGCCATTAACTTTTCACAGTTCCGTCACTCCATTTAAAGCACGCCACTAACGACCATCAACGGGTTCAAATATAACCATAACAATGAGGTTGTTTTACTTGCTTAATAACTGAAAGAAAATTGTTTTTCTCTGAATTAGCAAAATAGTAACTTCTCTTTTAGTATAAATAAAATGTTTTCCCTTTTTTCACTCACTCACTCTTTTTGCTAGTATTTAACAAACAACGTTTGAATAGTTTTACATACGTTAAAATCATTAAAAAAATAACAACAATTTTCGTATTTTCACTCGTATAATTAGTGAACTTTAACCCCGAAGTGGGATTGTATCGGGCGGGTCCAAAACCTGAATTCTCACTGAATTCCTGATCCTTCCTCCAAGAAGGTACTACAGCGGGTTTTACCAGGTAGGCCAGCATCGCTTAAACCTGTCTTTTTCAAGACGAAGGCATCGCTAGAAAACTCGGGTTTAAGGCTTGAGGAGTATTTCCTCCGCATTATCAAAAATAGGATCAGTTTAAGGCAATCAATATGTATCTATATACTTAAACATTTTTATTATCTACGCATTAAAACTGCTATGAAAATGTTAATATTGGCATTTAAATTTGAATTTAAAATACAAATTTTCATAAATATGTTCTATTGATGATTCTTGATCGTTACAGTAGAAAAAATTACCCTGTATAAAAATATTTTAATGAAATGACTAAAAACGAATACTGTCAGATTTTATTGTGCGACAACGAATAAATAAATATTATTAAAAATCAGTCTATAATTAATTAACAGTATAACTGTGTTTTTTTCTTAAGATTATTGTTTTGTGATCATATTAATATAGTTTTGATGTAATGAACTTAAAAAATGTTTTTAGGTATAGGTATTTTTTTTTAAAAGAAGCATCGTATTACTGATTGAGATATTGTGATTGACAATAAGAAAGCAGAATAAGGCAGGGAAGATTGTTTATTTAGGTTGTATGTTTGCAACAGATGGGTTATGTGGCTGATATAGAAAGGCGGTGAGATGCCGGACAAAGTGTAAATAAAGCATTTCATTCCCTTGTCGCTAGTCAAATTTATCTGAACCTTTTTCTGTATCTTTGCGCTACGGTGTACTAGTCCGAACAATTTAGTCTGCAGATGCATTCCGGATTAATTGCTTAACGAAACTTTATTAATGGTGGGAAATACTGCATACCCCGATTTTTCAGGGCTCTCTTCTATCTGATCCATCTCCTAAGAAGCTAGTCAAACAGCGAGGGTATACCCACTATAGCATACCAATATTCCTCTCTATGGTAAGCCAGTGAAAGTTCCTTTCGAAGCACGAAGGAGTTCAAGATCACAAAGTTTATTTATACTAAAACATGTTTAATATCTATATATCAAAACAAATCGGCCTAGCTGTAAAATGTAACAACTTTATTGCACTATATAATATTATTAGTCTATAGTATTGATGAATATTTATGTTAAGAACAGAATAAAATATTCTTCTTGTCCCTGATCCATTCCTACTTGAGAAGCTTTTGAATAAATTCTGTTTCAATTTCGTATTGTTCGAGACGGTGAATTCTTAAGTGCGCAGGAATGAGAGGCTTTACGTATAGCTTTAATTCAGTATGTTTACTTACTAGAGCTCGCAATGTTCAGTTATTCGTATGTATATATTAGATATTATTATTTTTATTAGAAATATGCTTTTGGTATAAAAATTTTAGGAATAGTCGTTTTGTTTGGGTGTAAACGAGAAATAACTTTTGCTTTCTTTTATATAAAGATAAAAAAAGACTACGTAACTGGTAAAGTTTTACTAATTCATACTAATCATAGTCATGTGACTTATTTAGCCGTTATATGTTGGGGTGGGACGAGATGGAAGTATAAGTTATATTAGAAGTCGTGTACATCTAAAATCTTTCAACTGTTTTTGGGCGAAGAAATAACGTCCAAATAAACTGTAATCAAAAATGAGAAAATGACAACTTTTAAGAAGGTTTCTGTCACAGCTAAAGCATAAACTAAAAAGTTTTTCCGTGCAAAATTTTTAAAGACGCCACTAAAATACACATTTTATTAATTGTTGTAATTGTATCTTTTTTATAGAGAAAATTGATAAATATGTGAGTCACGTCGTAGTTAAGCGAATTATGTAGTACTGTCACAACAGTCGTAATTAATTTAAAACCATTAAGCCAGAATTTGCCGTCCTATTTTCCTATCTCGTTCTAGTTGCTAGGTATAATCAGATAGACAATCATTTAGCTTTACGCTTCCTCTTAACATAATAATCTAGAGTAGCTCAATGGTTAGAGCAGTCGCCGGGATTACGAAAGGTCATGGGTTGGTGTTCCATATCATAGTGCCAGGGACAAAGTGGATATTTTTAGGATTTTTCATCACGGATATTTTTTAGTATAGCCTTGTGAATGTAAAATTAATTAAATATAATAATTAGAACAAATTTTCATCTTTATCGAAACTTTCAATATTTATAAAAATATTTCTTTCTGCTGTTTTGGTAGTGTGCAAGATAGCTCATCATTATATCTGTGATTATGTTTTAAGTTAATAAAGAATGTCATTTTGATTTTTGTTTAATACTTTACTCTTTGTACTAAAATTTGTAACATAAAAGATAAAATAAATCTTCCATTATCCCGTTTAAAATACCTGATTTCCATTATCTTCCTCAATAGGTAGATTGTCTGAACACAAAATACGCTCTGCAGTAGCGAAAAAGTAACAAGTGCTTAAAAAAATTGTCATTCCTGTTAGGTACTGGGTAGCTCAGTGGTTAGAGCAGTCACCCGGATTGCGAAAGGGCATGGTTTCAAGGCCCATCTCAGAGAGCCAGGGGCAAAGTGTATTTTTAAGCATTTTTCACTAAACTTCTAATTTTGTTCATCCAACTATTAGTGTGACACTTAACGCATCTATATAAAATATTTTATGTAATCAATGTCCAGTTTAATTAGCGTTTTTGAGATGTAACTACTTAATAAAGCCTTTAACAATAATTTATAGCTCAACATTGATCTTAGAACGAAAGACGGTTTCGACGCGCTGAAGTAAGAGTAGGTACCTAACAATAATAAATGGTTTTGAACTTCGTCAATTTAATAATGTTTAATCTTGTTTGTGAGCTACGAGAGAGTTGTAAGGGTGATTTATATGGACTCGAGTTGGATGTTTGCCCACACCCTCATTCGTTATCCGCGCCCATCGTTCTGCATTTGTGCCATAACGAAGGTTATGTAGATACCAAAAAAGCTGTTAGTTAAAAATTACTTTTAAAGTGGCATATCGAGGTTACTGGTACTGGTTACTTAAATATGGAATGCAGCCAAGAATAATTTTTAACAACTTTATTTTGAATTTTGTTCCATGCCAATGTGGAAGCGAAAACATCATAACATATGTCAAATGCTTGCTTGTCTACCATTTTGCTGTACATTCTTTTCTTTTAGCCAACAAACTGAAAGTATGTCACCAAGTATTGGGTGACAAAAAGATCAGTAACGAAATCTGGATTTTAAGAATATCATATAACTAAACATGTTCTAAACATTTGCTTAATTCTTATGATATTAGAGTGCATTTAAAGGTTAATGTGTTGCTATTATATTTAATTATATTATTTTTTTTGTCTAAATACAACTAAAAGCATTATATTGAACATATGTAAATAGGGCAACGAGTAGGCTAATAAGCATTTAATAAAAAAGCTTTTACGAAAATATGAATCATAGGCGAAAAGGTATTTTGTGATGTTACATTTATAGAGTATGAATAGAACCTGAGGGTTTTTAGGGTTCAACTTCATTTGGTTGAGTTGAATTTCGGTTCACATATAGCAACATATAACACAGTATAGATAAGTAGCAGACTTATTAATTAATATCCAAGTCGATTAGAATATCGATATTAATAATCACTCACTCGATTAATTATTCATTTATTGTACCGATATCAATCATTGTAATACAGACAAGACAACAACTATGTTTTTTACTTTTCCTGAGTTAATTTCCAACAAGTAATTTACCTAAACGAATTTAAAGCACAAAGCTCTTAGTGGGGGCTTTTAAATTTTTAAAAAAGATCCATAATTTACATTGTGCTATTCATCTCATGAAAGGACTTATTGAGAAAATTAATATTATAATAATAATAATTTTGAGATTTATTAAAGACTAGCGGCTTTCCCGCGACTTCGTCCGCATAAATTATCGCCAGTATCACCCGCGTATAATGTAGCCCGTAGGTAAAGGATATTTTTAAATTAGCCCGTAGTATAACTTGAAGCATCATTCAAGTTATTGTGCTCCATGATATTAACCCGATCTTTGAAATTACAGCACTTAAACAAATAAAGCTGAAACTACAGCATTTAAATACCTATATAAATAAAATATACCAAAACATGTGGTTCTTTAACTTTATATAACAGGACTTTACTAGTAAAAAGATAGATTTTTTTTTCAAGTTTTGAAGAGGTATTGTTCGAACACTCTGCGCGAGAGATCGACTCGCTCTTGGCCGATTTTTTATACCTAGCGAGAGCCGGAGCGAGCACTTTCATTGAAATATTATCCGCGTCACTGGAATAATAAAAGTAACAACCAATAAGAGTAGTAAGGGCGCGCAAATATAGACCATTAAATATACGAAATGTGAAGCTTCTCTTTGACAATTTTACTGGAAACACGTAGTCATATTAAGGTAATTCTGACGCCATAGTAACAACTCTTCGATAGTCTCTAATAAATACCAATATACCATTGTACCAAACTATGGTATATTGGTATATACCATATACCACATCTATAGTGCAGCTGTGTAAAATAAATAAAGAAAATTTATGTATATAATACATTGAAATAGAAAGGACTATATTTTTCTTTGTTTATCCTTATCCTTTACGCAATATTATGAAAAAAAAAGCATATATATTAAGCATTAATATTAAGCATCGATTAAGCTCCGAAACTACTGGACTGATTTTAAAAATTCTTTCACCTATGGGTAGCTACAACATACGGGGTTAACATAGGCTATTATTAACGTGTGCGAAGTTGCGGGACAAAGCCAGTATATTATTATATTTTGATTAATTTTGCATTCACAATGCCATACTGGGAAATATTCTTAATACAAAATGCTTAAAAAATCCACTTGGTCCCTGGCACCCTGAGATGGAAATCGAACCCACCACCTTTCGCAAGCCAGGGACCAAGTGGATTTTTTAAGCGTTTTGTTTAAGAATAAAGCCAGTAGATGTATAAAGAGCTTATTATAAAATAAGGATTAACTTTAATACCAGGTTAAATTCATTAACCGACTAAGTCGTCACGTCTCAATTTGATGTTTGCTCTTCTGTCATTGTTGATTTGTTTTAGGCGACCAGCTATTAAACTAAATAATTAAGTTTAATAAGAAGACGGAAACAGTGCTACATTGAAGAAAGATATATTTAGAATATTTATTTACCTATTATGATTCAGATTCAGAATCGATAATATTATATACCTATAGTTATGGGAAAGTAACTTCCAGGCTAAAAACAAACTGATCATGTAAATCGGCACAATTAATCATTGTTAATAGAAATCTTGGGTAGGAAATTTATGACTCACTGGAAAAACACAGTAAAATTTGCAAGATATATTAAAGTAATTTCCAACGATAATGAGGGCGTTCCGAATGAGGAGCTTCGTGTTCTTTAATAAGCCTATTTTTACCCACAAATGGAGCAGGGTTATACCTTTGGGGTGAGAAGTTGTTGGTGTGTGTATGTGTACTTCGAAATTCTCATTTGTCCTAAAACAGGATTTATGGATTTGGACACGATTTTCCTTCGGTAACGGTTCAAGAACCTTTAATTATTAAAGATTGCTCATTAAATAGCACAAAAATAATTGTTTTGCTGCAAACAAAAATAAAATCTAGTAGGTATTTTTTCCGAAGTAAAGTATTTTTTTTTCAAACACCTTCATTTTTTATAGAAATTCAAAAAATTCGGTTCATTTTTGGACTACATAAATATGACCATATCTCTACTTTTCTTGTTCAACTGAACTGGCTTCCTGTCCGTCTTCGCCGTGATATGCATATCCTTTCATTCTTATTTAAAATCCTTAAAGATCCTAATTCACCCCAATACCTTAGTTCTTTGCCCTTCCATCAAGTGTTTTAGATTCAAACTTAAAGACTACTTTCTATAACAGTGTTCGTTTCATGACACTGCCTTCATCGTCTCTTATATATGTAGTGTATATTTTATGTATTGTATATATCTATTTTTTTATTGTTTGTTATTTATTATATATACCTATGTATTTTTTTTTTCCAACCCTAATATCATTTAACTGCACTTTTATCATCAGCTTACATCTTAATCTCCCGCGACTCCTAGGTTGGCTGGACGAAATCTCTTCTAGAGATAAGTCTTCCATTGTACCATTTTTTTTTTAAATTGTATTTATGTAAAATTTTTAGTGCAATGAAGAGTATATAATAATAATAATAATAGAAAATGTAGATAAATAGATAAGATTTTTATTTCCAGTCACAATTCACAATTTCGTGAGATACTAGATATTTACATATAATAAAAAAAACAAGAAACACAAATGTACCTGTAAACAGTAATTAGAAACTTATGTCGACACCCTTAAGGTACATCACGCTTAATCTACCATTGAATATTGATTAAGCCCATCAGCTTACGCTCGTTTTAAACAGTGAATAGTGTCTTTCGCGGAAAATCGCTGTATTTAAACGTAAGAGAGCTGTCACTAAATCTCGGATTGACTAATTCCATTAATCACGAAATTCACTAAAAACGATTTGTCGAAGTTCTCTCGGGAAATGAAATTCCTCGCGGACAGCAGTTAAGTAATTAATAAAACCTATGTATAAATAATGTTTTTCCTATTGCCTAAAAGACTGTACGATGCTTTGAGATGGCTACAAATATATTATAGTTTAACCCATTGTTAGCCTTTTATTCAGATAAAATGTTTTATTAGACATTGGATATAGCTACTCGTCCGTCAGCTGTCATGATCTTTCACCGTTGTAATGAAAGCAGACCCAAATGGTCGCAGACAACATGAGAGAGGTTTTTTTTTGCGTTCCGCAAATATATTGGGTAGAATTAATCAAGAGGCTTGTTTTCCCGACAGGAGAAAATACGGCTTGAATGCAAACAAACTCTCCCCGGGGACGGATTGTCTTTCGTAGGAATCTGAAACTTCTTACTATCTACGTGTTTATGTAGTAGTACATTTGTGTAGGTACTATTTGTAACTCAGATTTTGACTTTGCTATGTCAGGATTAAACATCAGAGAACAAATATCGTTGCGTTATTTATCTTCGATTAGATACACTATATTGATATATATAAATCAATATAATTTCATAATAAAATAATTGTAAATATATGGAAGTTAAAAACTATACTTAAATTTATATATAAAATGCACGTATTTATGTAATCATATGAATATATTGATTGAGTAAAATATGATCGAGTATTGGTTTGTCTGTACTTAATATTTAACATATATAGATTGATATTCGTTTAATTCAGTGTACACGATTAAAGCTCTCTCGCTTTTTATCAATTCCATATAATGAACTCCCATTAAACGGAACGCTATGGCTGAAGTAAAAAATATCACACCATCATTCTTTCGAGTGCTGCCATTAAAATATACGCGAAACGAATGTTGATGAACAGAATATTTTGCGAGCCGCATAAAGCGGAATTATTTCAACAGAACGAAATTATCTATAACATTCTGAGTATAGGTAATTGAGACTTTATTTTTTATGAATTAATTACATAATAAAGTTTGTAGATTTTACCTTGAACTTGTGCTAAATTTCATAGTTGGCAACAAATAGATCCTATTAGGGTTCCGGATTTTTGTTTTCAAGTACAGAACCCTAAAATCAAAATAGCTAAGATGCCAGGAGAAAATATCATTAAACATTTAATTTTAAATATAATTAACTTACTAGTTTTTTTGTAATCGAAGTGTTTTCATTTCCATACAAAACACAACGCTTTAAACACAAACTCGGTTTCTATTAACATACTTCCTAAAGTTCGGGAGAAAAATTACCTCACATAAAATGTGTAATTTTAACCTCCTTTGTATCTACGATTAAACGGCGTCTTTTGATGGTTCTAAGTATCAAGTTACGTGTTAAAGTTAAGAAATAAAAGTCAAACGAAGTTTCCCTTCCATAAAACACGGATGTAGTTTTATAAAAGTTTGATACAAAGTTTGAGAGTTTAAAATGTTTAAACAAATATCAAAGCTTGGCTTTAAGTTTTATTACCAGCGTTAGATAGTTATTAATATGAAAATGTCATTTCTTCTCAATGTACTCAAAATCAAATATATCAAGATAGGACATCTTATCTGATCAAAAATAATCATACTGAAATGAGTCACTTCTTCAGACTTGCGTAAAATTATAGATTTTTGTGTTGTCAACCTTAATTGAATTAACCATAATCAAACATTCTAAAATTATTGATTGTTATGTATTAACCATAATCAATCATTTTTTTTTTGAAGTTCTGAGTCCCATATACGCTTAAGTTAAATATAATGAAGAATTTCGTATCTTCTCTTAACCAGTATACAAGTCTATATTTAATTCAGACAATCCAACAGAAAACCCAATGTCGAAGTATGCTCTATGATTAGAATTTGATTTCACAAAGACAAAAGTTCTGATAGGTGCAGTAGTTTTGTAGCGCAATTTTAATCTTTTTTATAAAGTAGGAAATTGTTATTATTACAGGATACACCGGTGATAGATGTGAGATGGAATACAATGAGTGCGAATCATCACCGTGCCTGAACGGTGGCACCTGCACAGATCGCGTTAACGGGTTTGCGTGCGCTTGCGGCCGCGGTTACACAGGCAACACATGTCAACTAAAGGTAAAACACACATCTAACTAATTTTATCACTATCATCCAATTGATTCCTTGAGTGGAGCATAGGTGTTCTCTGTGGAAATAAATAAAGGAAGATTATAAAAACGAACGGAAATGTGATGTCACAGTAGTAACGCAGTTGCTGACTATGAGCAGTTTCTCTATCCATTTGCCTAAAATGTTAAGACATAATATAATATGGCATATTTTTGTATATTATATAAAATGGCATACAATTTACGCCCATCCCCTTACAATTTTATATAAATATAATTTCCATACACAAAATAATGTTTAAGCATAAAATCCTAAATCATAAATTTAATAAATTGTACTCTTTGTTTTGATCACTGTTCTAACCTAATACAATCAACTGATCGGGTTTTTATATCAAGTAACATTATGCGAAAGTAAATTATGCCAAAGAAAGATAATACATAACGATCATGCCGGAAGGTAGCCATGAGATTCCTGTAATGAAACAGAACGACCACATAGAGCTTAGGGTCCTTTGTAAGCTTACAGACACTTTGGTCCCAATTATTTTCAGTATCTGACGATGAAACCGAAATGTGATCATAGACCGTTATAATTAAATAAAACATCAACCAATTTTTGTCGTAAAAATGTATTTTAAAATATACGCAAATGAAAACATAGCTAATGAGATGCTCTTTAATAGTTTAATTTAAAAAATAATATGTTCACTAGTCTATGCGTCATTCATCAAGTTACAAACACGTTTGTTTAATTAAAATTATCATTAGTTTAAAGTGACATTACTGATACAAATTAGATTACAGATTATTATTTGACCATTTTATTGTGGTTATTGTATTGTATAATGGTTATTGTGTGACCATTTTATTTCTCAAACTAATTGCAAAGGGATGACTCACGCTAGACCATGTCGGGTATGAGACGACCGTCGGTGGCTGTAGCACGGTTAATATATAGGTATATAACTACTGTTCGGCATAGTATGAATGTAGCCCTACAAAATATAAGTAACTACCTGATTTCTCCCATTTTCTTCCGAGTAAATTATAGCCTATGTCAACCGCGTATGATGTAGCTTCCTGTTAGTGAATTATTAAATGCAAACAAACAGTCAAATCTTTAAAAATACCATATAGACAAATATAAGCCATAGCCAACGGAAAGCTCGGATCCAACAAGGTAGTTAAATCATCGTCATCATTAAATGAGGCATAATTATTTTTGATTATACGAGTAGTTATGATTATAACTACCAAAATTCAATATGGAAACATAAAAGTAAACCATTGCCCGGATTTCACTTAGCAGTTTTCTGTATGTTAATCTCATTCTAGCAACAGGCATATCGTATGATTCTTTTAGTTTCTCTTTCCACGTGCACAGTTTCATTTGTGTGTACTTCAAGTTTAAGCTGTTTTGAATTGCATTTCATATATGAAACGTCTAATTATAATATGTAATTGTTTTCAGGTGGACTTATGTTCGCCCAACCCATGCCCACCGCGTCGCTACTGCATGGATCGCGGCAACAATTATGCATGCGAATGTCCACGCGGATATGTCGGCGACGAGTGTCATATACCGACACGATTGGTACGTGTAACATCACGTATTATCTATATTAGTACTGTTAAAAACAAAAATGTATCGCTTTATGTCTGTTTTGTATTTTTGTTTAATAAACTTAAAAACTCGCCATTAAGAATGCCATCATCATCATCATCAGGCCTTCCTTATGAATAGTTAAGGAGGATCATCAGCCCTTTTATGTCCCCACTGCAGGGGCTCAGACCTTCCTTATGGGTGGTTAAGGAGGATAGGCCATGACCCTCCACGCTGGCCCAATGCGGATTGGAGGGTATTAAAGACTGCAAATGCAGCCGGGACCATCGGCTTAACGTGCTTTCCGAAGCACGAAGTAGCTCGAGATAATAATACATAACTTTAGACATTGATTGAATAATATCGTTAATTGGTGAAAAATATTCCAATACTTTACTAAGGTATGTACACATACGGCAGGTTACCAATATTTTAAGGTTTAATCCTTTAAACTTGGCAACATCCAAAAGGTTACACAAAAATAGAAATATACACACTCATGACTTTGTCAAGCGTTGCGCGGGATATCGCACCCCACTAGGTACATATTTTAAAAGAAAAAAAAAGTACTTTCGTTATTCCATTAAAAAATCTTTCGATCTTTTTTATTGTTAATATTATATTAATATTATGAACTCCTATTTAAATTAAGAGACGCTTCAATGCTCATCCCCAATTCCCAAAGGTGCACCGAGCGCGGGAGACTGTGACTAGACCTTATTAAAAATCCTGCTTATTAGATTACTTTACACGAAATTGACAAATTATGGATAGACTGAGTCAAAGCTTTAATTATTACATGCTACAATACACGCGGGAGACATAGGCTATAATTTATGTGGGAGAATTCTCGGGAAAATACCTAGTGGTACACATAATATAATAAAGTATTATTAGTATTAAAGAGCTCCATGGCGCAGTGGTTATCGCGCTCGGTCTGCTATAACTTTCGCAATGGCCGATCATAGGATGGGTGATCAAAAATTTATTACCTCAAGCTCCTCTTTGCTCCGGAAGACATGCCAAGCCATTGGTCTCGGCTGCATCTGCACTGTCTTGTCACAATGTCCTGGTTTTTATAATGTCTGAATAGTTTTTAAGCAGGCTTGGGTTTTTAAACAGCTCTAATTAAGTATTTGAAAATTCACGTGGTACTTTAAAAATTCTTAAGACGCTTTTTCTTTATGTTTCTTAAAACTTAACTATAGTTCAGGATCCTGTTTTCAAATTAAATTGTCCTGACTGTTCCAACTTTAAATCTTAGTTTTTGGAAATTCAGTTAACAACCCTACTAAGCAGATCAAATAAATTTCATAATATTTGATCTGCTTATTTTATCAAAAAATAGTTCATTAATTCATTCGAATGATTACCATACTTTTTAGGATCGAAAATTCAATCTTCCTGTGACTTTGTTAATCGCAATATGATTTATGACAAAATTACTGGCATAGTACTCGTAGAAAAAGATGCGTGACTTTTTGACTCGTGTATTTTTTTTTTGTTAATATTTTACGAAACTTATCTCGTATGCCTGATTGTATATATTTTTATTTCAGGCATGCGATAATAATCCTTGTGCTCATGGAGGCACGTGTTGGAATGGCGTTGACTCTTTCTACTGCTCCTGTCGTCCGGGATACACAGGGAAACTTTGTGAAGGTGCGTCTTTTTTTTTACTTTTTTCCGATATTTAAATAAAACTTTACAAAAATATCCATATTATTTGGAATAAGTTTTATGGTAAGAAATCCTTTCAAACCGAAATTAGATTATTGTCAGGTAGGTCATTAAAGAATATTAAACACGTATTTTTCTTATACTTTTGCGTAATCAATAAAGCGATACAGAGTTGAAATTTCACATGACGTCACGCTTTTGGGCATTTTCTACGTAGATCACTACGTCAGGCCCCCACTCGTGAAATTAAAGCCTATTATCTAAGCTTTTTCTTGTTAAATTGAAGCAAAATAAATACGCATTTAATATTTTTATATTAACTGACTGATGGACTAAAATTTCTATTTTTTTACCCAGGCCTATTTCAAGTGGACGCTCAAACTGAACGAACGAACTTTTTATAATCCGTAATTAGTCTGAAATATTTCCTTTTCAGAGGATTTTATATTAGAATCGGTGATCAGCGAAGAGAATAGTATGAATAGTGAGTCTCGCGGCGGAGGATCGGTGCGTGAGGTGCGTCTACCTTTGGGCCTGTATCACGATCGCCTGCACAACGTTTATATCGCTGCTGGGACATTAGGAGCTGCCATTGCTATCGTCGGTGTCGTGGTAAGAATTGTATAGATATACGTCACTTTGATCTCAAGCTAACTAGGCAGCAGAAACAAACTATGGTATGATCATGACATGAGGTAATTCTACCAAAGTACACTTAAAACAGTATTAGAACTGGTTTTCTGGTTATGTAACCCGGATCGTCCGAGACGGCAAGACCTATTCGTCACCTGATCATAATCTTCATCACAGCCTGTCAGCAATACTGGGGCACCTAATTGCCCTATCGATAGAATTTTAGGAAGAAAGTGGTAATGACCTACCACGTGTGCCCGGTTCGGATCGGTGTGTGTTAACGACTGCAGATGTAGTTTGGTTGGAAATAACATCTTAACGTGTCCTCGTAAGTATACAGGAGTTGGAGATAGTAAAAAATTGGTCATTTATCAGTTGATCTTCCTTCCGCAGATGAACAAATTGCCTCTGTGCCACATCTTCACAGATATGATATCAACAAAATTATTAAAACGACTTGATATTTTCCGAATTTTCATTTGAGAAAAAATAGAATAGGCCCTCAGGCATCATTTCAATCCTTAAGAGTTATACTTATGTTCCGTCTAATACAACACAGGTGACGGCATGCCACTGCCGCGTGAACAAGACGTACTCGCGTGTGTTGTCACGATTGTCGCGAGCTCGTGAACCGGGCCCGCCCCACCACTGGCTGCAGGACAAGCGCGCGCCCCCCGTCGCCGCGCCCTTCCCGCCCCCCGCGAACCCCTTGGACACCACCGACATGTACTACACCCTCGATTTCAGTGACAGCCAGAGCTCACCGCTCATACAATAGCGATCACTGCTCGACTGCTCCGAGGGTGATCATTTCAAGATCCAGATCTAAAAACACCGAGCAGAGCGGTCGATTGCTTGCCAGACATGGCTATCGATGTTGAGTGTCGTACTTTATTGTGAGGAAATGTCGATTAAACGTTTCGGTGTTTATTTTATAAAAAAACACTTAAAAAACACTAGTAGGCACCAGGTCCCGAGTGGTGCCATCTAGGACAGACGCTTATTAATTATTTTTCTAAAAGATAAACACTGAAATATGATATGAATGCAAATTTTACCAAATATGATAATGTTTTAGTGTTGTTGTGATAGCGCTAATAAATAATAATAAATTATTGCTACTGTGTTATGTACTGAGAATCCGTCGCACTATTCGTAGTTATTACTATAAATCCTTGCTATTTAAATAAAGGGAAATAGACTATTAATATAATAATAGATAGTTAGGTTCTTACAGATGTTCATATAAGTTTGTAGAAGAAAACACGTCATGACACTTTATGACACTATCTTAAATTCAATAGGCGATTCCAATAACATAGTTTACGTTTGAAGGTAATTTTTTTAAACTAGACTTGTTCAAAGCGTCCACAAAAATATTTTCTGCTAAAGATCAGAACCGTTTAGATGGAGCTTTATCTATAGTATAATATGTGTAATATTTCATTATTAGTAAACAGTACACATTATGCTAGATTTTGTTTTATATTAAGGCTCTCTATAAATACTTGGTATCCAAAAAGGTTCCATCGCCGAAAAGTTTGAGAACCCTTGCTAAATCAGTATTGCAACAACACTGGCCCGATTAAATTTATATTGGAATTAATTAATTTTGGACTACTTAATCGTTAAATTCTAAAGTTCCATAGTTACAATAATGAATAATATAAACAATGAAGTATGACACTCTGCTTCATAAGTCTCCCTTTGTCTATTTTTCGAAGCGTAATAACAAACCTCGAATAAAGCTTTCCAGATTTATCTTCCGATTATAGAAAAACTGTGACTTCAGCGAATTATGATACTACATCGCTGACGCTGTCAAAATAAGTCTTTGATTAAAAAATCAGTCCTATATTTTTTTTGAAACTCATTTTCTTAATGGTGTAGTTATGGTGATGTAAGCGGTAATGACAGTTTGCATGAATTCCTCATATACATTTAAAAATATAAACAAAAAAACGTGATTTTTAACTTAAATTGCCAACTTTAACTTATAATCTGACAGGAGTTACTTAACAATTAAATATTATAGCTTAATATTCTTAGAATTTACATAAAATGGTAATTCCGACGTGTAGGCAAAGAATCAGATGAATAAAAAATGAGCGTGCGAAGGATTCGCTGATATATTTACATATACATATTTTGATTTTTCAAATTAGACTTTAGCATTTTATCAATTTATTTGACTTTTTGTAGTAACTAATTAAGATGATTTAGAGTCAGCTCTATTATAATCTTCACGATCAATGTTGTTTTATGGTTATTATACTCGGAGAACTAATCTTAATAGATAATGATTATACATGATTTCGGAAAAGATGTTTTTTTTTCTATAACGAAATTTCGACTTACTAAACATAAATTAGATATATTTTCATTGTACTCCTACAACCAGGGGAGAGAATTTTTTTTTTATTGTGATTGTGTGAGAAGCTCTCAATTTTTTGTTTGAAAGGTTATTAGATTTACATTTAAATATAAGCATTGAACATGTGTCAACTAAAAAAACAACATTTTAATAGTTTTGAAAAAAACTCGCCTCAGGCAAAATTGGGATCTGCATATTATACGATACTAGGGCAGTCTTTTAGCGCTAAGTTACCGAGTGGCCGTGCGTGAATTTCTTCAAAACTGAAAATACCTAACTGATTTTCACTTTATTTGTGAAATTGTAACCATGAATTAAGTTATATTCCTTTACATGTATAAATTGTCAATACTGTCGTAATCTGCGTTATTATATAGGTTAATATGTTAATAAACTAGGACTTAAATTCGTTTAACATGTAGAATAATCATACTGTTATCCAAAATGCCAAAAAATAGCTTACGTGAAAATTTCTTTATTGATCTCGTTGTTGTGTTAAGTTTAAATTAGATGTAGTGTCTATCGTGTATATGCAATTAGGGAAACTATAGTGCAGGTGAGATTAGTTAACAATTGTATTAGTAGTCCCAAATTTTTGTCATAACAAAGTTTAAGTTCGTTCACACTAAGTGCCTGTTATAATGCTGACAAATATTACGTTCGGTGGATGTGTCATTTTGGCATCAGTTCAGATAGGAAATTGTAATGGGAGATATATGAATTATTAATATTTATAACATCTTATATAGCAGAGCTCAGAAACCTATTATTAACCGGCTCGTAAGAAACTCCATACATTTTTGAGAGCGTTTAAATTTATTTAATTATTTTTGTATTTATTTAATACTTCATACGTGGATTTAATGCCTTGGGCATTCTTTACCACTTAGCCTTTAGGTGAGATCGAAGGAATTAATCTATAAGTAGGAATTATTATCAAAATTATGGAGTATTATTACTTATTTCCTAAATGAAATGATGATTAAGAAATATAATGAAACTATAAACTTTATACATCTCCCATTATGAAGATCTATCTTTCTTTTGTTTACCTTTCTTTTATCTTTCGTTGTGTAACTTCATCGATCCAATTTTCAACTGATATTGTAAATGAGACTACTTTATCTAAGCTTGCTTTTAGCGTCTGTAAAACAAACTATAAGCATAAACTATACATACTTATCTACATTAAAATGTCCGATTTATTAAATCTTGAAGAAATCTTAAACTTTTTAAAATAAAGCTTATGCTATTTCACTATTGCTTCTGAGTGTGTAAATATGTGAACATTATTGTTATCGTATGTTTTAATAATAAATTAAAACAGTTTTTGGTCGTTTTCTTTACCATCGAATAATTTTAATTAATGTATTGTATTCAAATTACAATAAATTTGTTTCTTGTCGGCAATTACCTTTCACGGGGTGGGGTTTAAATAGGAAAACAATAAAAACAAGAAAAACTGCTCTGACGTTTTGAAGAAAAACATTTTTATTTAGATTATAAACTTTGATAAAAATAATTATATTAATAATATTTTTATGACAACTTACAAATATTTTATATAAAAGAATAACGTAACATCTATTCAATTTAAACTTAGTTCTGAAAATTCTATAACATAAGTGCTACCACTTTCTGGATGTGATCGTTATTGTATAACTAGTGTGACTCAGCGGGCCGCTGCCGAGCCGCACCTTCACCGCCCACCCTGATACTTACTCCCGAAACCCAAACATCAAAAGAGCATTAACTTCATCAAATATAGGTACTGCAAAACGTAAAAATATCTGTTCACCCATGTGTTTATAGCTTAAAACGGTGCCTATCACTTACGTAAATAAAATCAGTATGAACGCAAAGAAAATTATAGATATACATTAGAAATAGATAAAATGCCAGAAAAGTAAAACAATTTACAAACGGTAGAAACAAAACAGTAACTTATACATTGAAATGATAACTATATAAAATCAAATTATGTTAATGCTGCAAATGATCTAACATTTCAAATACACAAAAACTCTAGTATACATTGCACAACCTCGGGGCAGGCGCGGAGGCGCGTCGACTTCGCCGCGACCATTAATCTAGCTACTACTGCTTTAAGTTTATTGCTACTGACATTTGTGACTTATGACGAGATTCAGAATCACGATCTAACTTCATTTTAAGTAAAAAAATTAAAGCTGCACAATTTAACATAATATTATAATACGTAAGTACATAAATAAATATAGTTGTGAAGTAGTTACAAGTAATAACAGTGTCATTACAGTCCGCGCGAGACGCGAATGGACTTTGAGCAATTCACGACATCTTTGAGAATTTAACGTATTCGTAAAGATTACAATATAATACTTTTAAGTAGTGGCGTGTCATTAACGAGTGTAAGCCAAATGGAAGAAATAAACGACCGTCGTTTAGAGCAGTCACAACAGCTAGCAGCTTAGTTAAAAGAACGAAACAAAAACAATATAAAAATATATGAATTATATCAATATTCAATAACATTACGTATCTTAATCAAAATTCGATGCTTACCTGCAAGTCATACGACACGAACTACAGTAAAATCTACGTCTAAAGTCATAGTAATCTAAATTATGTCATAATATGGCAGTTAATCGAACCGTTCGCACAAGGCACTTAACGTATCGCAATCATGGGTTCCATCTACAGCGAAACACGGGTATGTGACCGTTACATTTCTGAATTTAGAAGAAGATAATTCGGTGGAGTTTAATCTTAAATAATGTCATAAATATAGATAGTTTTGCATCTGAATAGAAAAATACAAATAAATATTGGTAAAATCAAACCCCTCATCGACACATATTAAAAGCATGTGCATTTTTACAATAAATATTCAAGTAAGTAATCAATACTCAAACCATTATATAACTTAAACCACAAAGCTATGATAAATCATAGTCACGACTATACGATATTTATGATATTTTAATGCGATATCCAAATGGCTAATAGACATAAAAAATTCGATAATATTTAGAATGACGTCTTACAATATAAATAAGTCTTGGACACAAATACTTCGTAAACTAAACGTTGTCATGGCCCGATAACTAACGTATCGATTTCAATTAATTAAAATAACAATATGTATTATCTATAAAACCTTAAATTACGTATACACAAACCACTCCCATCGATGATAATGTTAATGCTGTTCCAATGGACGACTTTTATGACTAAGTCTAAATGACTATATTATTTTATCATACATTATGCAAATTGCGACTCGTCTCATTTAAAATTTTAAATATCGTCCTTTGCTTCCATTTTATGTTTCTGAATTGTAGATATATATTAAATTGGTGTCGGAGATGAACAAATGATTATAATATAGACTCAAAGGAAGCCAAAGACGTTGTAACCTAAAACTAAAAACTTTACTAAATGAATGATTGAGCGAGCTTAGACCAAACTTACTTATATAAAACTTAACAAAGTGGATGGCATGTAAAATGACTTAACTCACTTAAATTAGATATAACATTATTACGATGAAGGCACTTTGCGCTTTAGTGTGTAGACAATACGTCTACAGAATAAGTTTTGTGACAAGAATTCCTTAGTTTATCATCATGGCAAGATTAAAAGGTACCTGTTGAAACGATAACTACATACAACTAGTATGATAACCGAGTGAATGGCACACGCGTTTATAATCAGCAACATTATAATTTACATAAGACACGAACGGTACTCTAGTTACCAAATATAGAAATAACATTGCCATCATAACACAACGACCTGCATCACCTACACTCTGTAATTTCATAAGGCACTTAATTAGATATATACAATAATGATCTTAACGTCGTCCACATAGCGACTAACGAATTTGTGACGTACTGTTCCATCTAAACAATGTTATGGTGATGAATCGCTTAAAAGTAATTTCAATCTGAGATCGACACATTTAGAGACAACGTTATCTCATTCATAAATTAATATACATGATATATTTTTATGTGCTTACAAAGGGAGTGTTTATACGCCGTCAGGAAGGAGATGCTACATGTTAAATACCATCTACATGAGACAGAATAGGGCGTAGTGAGTGACAATATAACACTTATCAACTGCACTAGGCGGGCGCTCGTTTTGAGTATACACTTCTTTAAGCTCATTTAAAAAGTTTCTAGACGTCTTTGATGTTTCGAACGTCTTAAAAATTTCAAGGTCTTGATGTTACGTAGGAACGCTTAATACTGTCCCTTAAGCGCGCTATCGAACGACGCAAACGTGCGGCATGTGTGCAGTCGCTAGTGGTCGACCGAGAGCTCAACGAACGTAATGTCATAGATAGGTTCGTCTTCGTTTACAGTTGCAGGTCGTACCTCCAATAAGAAAAGGTCCTCGTTGCAGTAATACGCCAACATTTCATCATCAATTTTGGCCGTAATCCTGTAAGTAAATATAATAGTTTAACATATCTATCATTAAACATTGGAGAGTTGTCAATGACTCGTTTTTAATTATGCGAACTTGACATAAATTTTATCACGTCAACATAATTTTTTTTTAACAAGTTTATTATTAATATTGCCGAAAGTGCTCAGTTTATTATTATGCGTGTGCTGGGTCAATATGCAAATTAACATCTAGTGTCAGGTTTAGGAGGGGGTGATTAAACGATACCAATAGCAAAGTTAAGTAATTAACGGAGTCGTCTCAGGGGTATTGTTGCAAACAAGCGTTGCGGAGTTAGTGGCGCGCCCTCTTTGGCAAGCTGTGCTCCTTAACGCGAGACGGCCATCGCGGGCTCTACACTATCAATACTTTTTTAGGCCAATGAAAACCACTTACCCTTTCTTGTTCTTTCGATAAAGATTATTAATTGCCGAACTTGAAATTTTGTACTTATTCTCAATCTGAAAATAAGCAGAAAATAAAACAAAATTACAATGGGCGTTTACTTTTTTTTTTAACGAGACGTCTCGCACGGTAAACGTAACCGGTGTAGTGGTTTCGCAAGGACAATCGAATTTGTATAGTACGGTTTCGATCGGAGGAGTCTAGTGCAGCGGGCGGCCGCGCGGTGTTAATTACAACATGCAGTTATGATGATCGTGTGTTTGTATTAGACGGGGTTATGAAGCGCCACATATCGGTTACAATCGGACGAAGCGTCTCGATTCCTTTCCTTAAAGTAAGCCAAGCGCACACTAAGCTTGACCACAAAATATCACAAGATAAGCATATTATACTAAACATTATCTTTGACGGTAGCAAATAAATATAGAGTGATCTAAGTGGTCAAATATAGTACAGCTCAGACTTCAAAATATTTTTCCAATGTATTGTTTTAGGGACAAGTGAGAGGGTTTGCACTATCTATCACCTGTCCCTGCGGTTAGCCGACATCACCAAGGTTATTCTCGTACCGTCGGGAGCGCTTCTTCAGACGTTACTTTGACCAGTATCGATTACCAACGGTCATTGTGACGTATCAAGCAGCATATGGTTAATACATAATTAAACATCCTTTAACTTAGAAGCTTACCGTGGATTAATCGAACAATAACAGTAAATATTGGTCAATTAACAAAGTGATATAGTCTAATGCCATTGAAATAATACAAGTGATTAATTTTAAGATAAACGTTGTTTAGATTTTTTTGTATGATTTAGCTTAGAGTACATTATCTCTTAAAGAGCGTTGTTCGATCAGTGGAATTTTTGCTTAATGGTTTTCAAATAAAGGATCAAAGCTTAATCGGTATGTACTTACGGCGTGCAGCAGGCCTTGCGTAGTGGGCGGGGCGACGTGTAATGGCGTGTACACCTCGTCTGTGTCTTGACGTACGTACAACATGACGCGCTCACTCAAAGGCGGCGTGGAAGTGCGCGCTCGCTTACCCAGCACACCTTCCAACTCTAATGAGTCCTTGCGATCACTGTATGGAGATAGTCCGCCCACATCAGGTCGATATCTGGAGACAAATTTTCAATTAAACATCGAAATGAAATACTCGTTTGTAATTAAATGACGTAAAAGTAACAAAAAACCCTAAATGTAATTTGTGTACATACTCGTAGATATTACGGAATCATAATAAATACTTTATATTGGTCCTTTTAGGGTTCCGTATTAAAAAAAGGAAAAGTGGAATCCTTATAGGATCACTCGGTTTTCTGTCTGTCCGTCTATCACAATACATTTTTGCCGACACTGAATCTTTTTGCGTTGTATATTAGAATGTGACATATCATATATATATATTTGTAATTAGAAATCATTTTAAAGGTATATATAAAAAATATATCTAAATTTATCATCCCCCATCCTGGTCTCCAAAACTACGTGGGTCAATTTAATTTTGAGAATAGTACAGGAAATGGTTCTATATCATAGATTACACGAACATGTCTAGCTTGTATCTACTCACTACATACATGCTACAGGTCCACAGAATCTCCAGTCATTGATATAATTAATAACATTAGATTGTGTGGGTATTTATGGATTAAAATAAATTATCTACTTATATCGAGTAATGTAGTACAGTGATTCTTAAAGCAAATCAGCAATCTCATATTACCTATATAAAATATTATACAGGAGAATTAACGTTATTCTTTTAGATAATTAGGTAGGTATCTAATTAAGTAAATCAATAAAACTATGATTAGCTGTAAGTCTAGTCTATCTTATCCCTAGAATAAATACTCAGATATTTAAATAATGTTTAGTTAATTATCATTTGTAACGGTAAAATTATTGCAACGCAGATATGTTTGATTAGTTTATTACCATATGGTGATAGTAACATACGCTACTAAGTCGTAAAATTTATTGACTTGACTTTCCTGTTATGGTACTTTGAATTTTCTTAGCACATGTTGCAAAGATATTATGATGGAAACTACTTTCTTGTTCCAGTTTGTCGCTTAATTATATCGCTTACATGTCGTCGGATGGATTGATAGAATTGATATGTACAGCTTTTAAGCTGCAGCTACTTTCACGTGATTACAAGTCATAATTAAAAAAGGCCAGTGTGAAGGGGGTTTGTGTTACACAATTCCATACATCTATTACTTTTGAAAGTCTTTATATTTTTAAGTCAAAATAGTATTTTTTGAGTCAAATAATCAGTTTTACTTTACTTTATCTTAGGTAAAATAATTTAAAAAATTGGTTTACTCTTTTCGGAGTCAATTCAATGCATAAAAACAAACTAAATAACAATCGAGTAATAAAATTTGTCCTCTTTATTGTATTAGTAAAGAAATCGCATGAGAAGAGTTTGACGGTATATTGATTTTAGAATAATGAAAAAAGAAAAAAAAATAGAATGAATTTTTTAGCAGATTTTTCAAACTGTCTTTGCACAACCTTGTTAACAACATTAGATTGTGTGGGTACCTTAATTATAATTTATTTTAAATGTCCATCTTTGGGCTCCATTTAAATATCTGTGGAGTACCTCATCTCGATCGGTGGAGTAGTTTCAGAGAAAATTAGCTGTTACAAAAGTAAGTTCGAAACAACAGACGGGGTGTGATCCTATACAGTTTCTTTTAGGATACATACGGTACTAAAACTTGTAATTTCTACTTACGCTGGTGCGTCCGGTGGGAAATGGTTATGGAATTTTAGCGCTGGCGCTTGGGGTTTCGCTGCGTGTAATAAAAATGGGGATGCGCCTTTTAAATGCGCCTCTGCAAGAACCGCCTCGTCATGACCGTAGAAGCCTTGGATGTCCATTCCTGCTAATTTATCAATATCCTCGGCGGGACTGAACAAGACGGGAGGTTTAGAAAGATCAGCCATCGAGTAGAATTCACTTCTTTCTGTAACTGGATGGTATATTTCGTCAAGTTTCTTTCTATTCGTGGCTGACATTTTCCTTTTCGCCGCCCTTCTTTCTTCGTCTCTTGTTTTTCTTTCAGCACCCTGTGAAAGATGTTCGAATAGGTTACATTATTTTAATCAATAATCTTTATTCAGATAGCTTACACACTTACGTAATTATTTATCGAGATATCAGTAAAAGTGAACTTACCTTATCACAGAACACTTTGATTTGGCAGTAACCTCGGTGGTAAACTTGTGTGTCCCGTGGATCTTCAAAAGTATCAATTTGTATATGTAGTGGTAAACCCTGAAACAATAAAACATTTTTAATGGAAAAATTGGAATTAAACCTTATTGAAAAAGATATATGATTGTTTTTATAAACACAGTTGGTCGTGAATAGTCCATGGAGAGTCAATAAAAATAGACCCACCAATTTTTGAGTCAATTTCACGCTAGCGTGCTTGCCTAGGAATTATAAGTAAACGATTTTAATAAACGTCCGTAAGGGGTAATTGCGATAAATGTCCGAATAAGGAAAAAATATGCACGTGTCTGGATCCAATCGCGCTAAAACGTCTTAATTGCGGCTGTTCGAGGTCGCCGTCACTCTGTAGGATAGGTAATTGAGAGGCAGATAGCGGGCAGGTTCGATATCAAACGCAGGGCGCGAGTGCCTCAGTGCCGAACATTAGCGGACGCGTCTCGTGTAAGATTTTTAAAATTTATTTACACATTTTACTTACGAAAAATTCTACTCGATATAGGATATGTCGTACTCATATCAAACAAAAATTGATGAAATTATTGACAAGATAAATAATTCCAGCATAAATAATTAAAACCAAAAATTCAACCGTCATTTATTGTAATAACTCCAAAATTGCTCGACTATACGATGCAAGATACTACTTTATAAATATGGCAAATAACAGGTTTAAAGTTTGCTTGTTTCGGGTCAAATAATATATTGATTGCACGATCAGACATTATACGATAAAAGTAGGCATACAATTAAACTGTTGCTTATTTTTCTGATGCTCGTATAACTCCCAATCTATCAAAAAATCGTTATTTTTGTTTATTATTTTGGATCAAATGAATTTATAAAAAACTAGTTTTTCTATAACATTTGAGATAATCTGTTAATTAAATAACTTTTCATTCATCAACTATTATTATGATATTAAGGTATGAATTCTTTATTTTATTTCAAGATTAAATTTACAACCGAGTGTTACTTGTGAGTTTACAATAAGCATAAATACAAAACTATTAGTTTTTATTAAGTACAAAACAAAGGTGAAAATAAAATCGAATGCTATAATAAAACTATTAGCGTCATCGGGAGGATAATTTAAGTGAAATTTATTTGTTGATTAATGATGAACTCGCTCCCTCTAGTACTTTACACCTCATTCTAGTACAAAGTGGTTATCGGAGTGTCTCCGGTGACAACGCGGTTACCGACCCCTCGCCTTCATGTTCATGGATCGTAACTTCCATTTACATACTTTCAATATGTTAAACTTAATTAATGTGTTGCACTTTTCACAATACTACTCAAACCAAGTAAAAACTTTTAGGTATTATCTATCTTTCTTAAAATACGAGTAATTACGAAACAAAATTTCTTATGTGTCGATATTATTGAAATACTACAATGTTTAAGTACTTATGTTGATAATTCCTCGCTGCTGTTTTCCTTATCGTGCTTGACAGATATTCGCGTATATCATCTTGTTTATAAAACTTCAATAATGTCGTTATCCGTTCGAGAATACACCTGCGCAATTATATTAATATTTAATATGAGATAAGCTGTTATTTATACGCACCTTCACGCCCTTTTGACTGCTGAAATCCGTACTGAGACACTGTACCGCGATATTGATCTGAAAAAAAAAGAAAGAAAGTTGTATAAGCAATTAAATTGACGTCGTGGTATTTTTCATTAAGTTCTTATTAGGTTTCTGAATGAAGACAATTTATAAAACTGCACATGGAAATTACAAAGTTATTACTGTATTAATATTCGCGCATGTAGCGGAGAGCACACATCCTGACCGCGGAGACAGGCGCCAAGGATGTCAGGAGTCTGGAGTCGCGGCTGCTAATGCTACTCTAGTCGCAAAAAGTTCTAAGCGACCGATGTCTTCTCAATGAAATTTTCTACTTAAACGCATTAAGTGGTAGAAGTTTTTAGCGTGTTATCGGCAGCGGTTGGGCGGCGGTGAGAACCCGCTCATTACCGCGGTCTATGTAGTCTATGCAAATGACCCCCTCGCGTTTTTACCCGCCGCCGACTACGCCACCGATCACTGTCCGAACGCATATTATCTGTCGCAAACGACTCGCATCCGCTACGGTTTCGCTGTCCAACAATAAATAATTATGGATATCGATAACCACCTAGCAGCCGCTGAGTAATTTGTGCCAATAAAAGAAACCTTCGGAAGACCATATATTGTAGAGTCACAAACAAGTGAATATTTACATGAATTTTCCATTCCAAGGCATTACAAATAAACTGTGTCTAACTTCTGTTTTGATCAGATATAGAAGTTATTAAACGCATATTACTACCTCTTTTAGCATTAGCATATTGCAATATAATAATGGCGACTCGAGGCGGACCATTAATTGTTGATGAATATTAAAAAGGCCATATATACGTACATAATATTGTGAATGAATTTACTGTCCATGTAGCGATTGGTTTAAAGTAAACATTTAAAGACTTTTTTAATGGTAATAATGAGTAAGTTTGGTGCAAGCATCGAAGCAGTGAGAAGTCAGTCGCGTCAGGCGAGACGAATGCATAGTTTTTTTGTTTCATTATACAAAATGGCTGTACCAAATATGGAAGCCGAAGTCTATTTAATTACGCCGTAATAAGTGTAATAAAATCATGTCTCGACTTTTAATTCGGTAAATAATGATAATGGTAGTAACGTACAAATTGTTCGGTAAATATGCACATATCTTTCCATCTTATGTCGACGTTATATGGTTTAATGAATGAGTTTGAATAAGTCTATGGAGTTTGATATATATAAAATTATGTAGTATTTAAAATTTATGTTATTAAAAAGTACACACTTTTCCATTACCGTTTTAATTTTTTTATGTAAATGAGAGAACTCTCGTGTCACTTTAATTTTGACTTTTTTATTCGGTTGTTTTAACTTTGTCCTGTCATAAATGTACCATAAATATCTTAGATTTAGTATAACAGTCATCTTATTCGTTATTTTTCAATTTAAATTATTTTTATGTGAATGTATAATTAACAAAATAATATTATTTACATTATTAATAATTTTATAACATATTTGTGAAATTTTTACAGCATTATAACACGTTAATTTATCATATATTTACCTCTGGAACACATAAGGTCAATAATAATTAACCTCTAACTTTAAAGACATTCCATACGTCTTTCTCAGTCGTTTAACAAATTAATGACACATGAAGCCAAAATAATTGATGCTTAGTTTAAGTCGCAAAATGACAGTTAATTTTTTTTCTTTAAGATAATATTTACCTTGTTATAACGTCATCATTTAAAATTATACTAGCTGAATTCTTTCGGCTTTGCTCGCTTAAATTAAATCCTATGTCATCTGCGTATAATGTAGCTTCCAGCAGGCGAGGGAATTTTTAAAATTCGTCCAGAGAAAAACTACTTTTTTATGAGAATTTGTATAAGTGTCTTACCTTTGCCGCGCTTTCGAGTGGATTCCAGTAGACGGCTATGGCGTTATGTGCCACCTCCTCGATGCAGCCGGCGAGACCGATGCTGTTCTTTGTATCTGCAACAAACCAACAAAACGACCGATTGTCCATTAATCTTGTCTTCGAGTAACTGTGCAATAATGCCGGCGGAGATTTCGATTAAGATATCAACGCATAATACGTCATCGGTGACGGAAATTTATTTGCGGGGCGTGAATAATCACGTGATAGGATCGATTTATCAACGATTGCAATGTTTCCACTACTGTCGCAGCTAGGATCGGAGTTTGCAATTAGTATCCATTTAGCTCATAGTCGAGGAGACATTTATACATTTGCAGTTTATTGTTCGCAGTGTAAACAATATATCCAGATACTTAATTCATAGTTTGTATAATATTAACTGACGTATTTTTGATAATGGTAATCTTACTAATATTATAAAGGCGATAACTTGTAGGTTTGGACTACTGGACAGATTTTTAATGAAGTTGGGTATATAGTACGATATAAAATAAAATGTATACACAGGTGTGTATTAAAAGCAAACTATCTAAACGAAACTACCTTATTCCCTGAAATATGTATCATTAACTTATTGGGCATGGCATTTTTATATTTTATAGGGGACATACTAGACATTTTAAATTCATTACTTTTAATTTGTTCACGTTATTAAGGCTCTGCATTTAAATTAACAGTTACTTCATCTCGCTCCACTGATCTAATTAGTGACATAGTTGTCTCACTGCACAATTTAACAAATAAGAAATGCTAGGTAATAGAGTTGGACACACCTACAATACACAGTATGGTGATTAGGTGTAGGTGTCACAGTTATAAATAATTCAGTGTTTATTTCGTTACAGTTGTTTATTGCGTCCTGCAATCGGCTGCATTACCGACAAGCGGTGGAGGTTTGTGAGTAATCGACGAGACGTAAGCGCAAGATCAATGCAATGCAATGGCTCTAGAAAAACTGTCCAATAAAAATATAGAAAACAAACATTTTATTACAAACTAGAATCATTTATATGTTTTTTTTGGATGTTTAATGGTGCCGCCAGATTAAACTCACTGTTGCGTTTTTGATTGACATAGGACTGTTATCCGAACGTATTATTACTTTTTTTTTCAAGCAATATTAATTGTCTTCTTCGGTTTACCTAGAATGCATTAGCGCATTATTACATATTCTAATGATGATATAATTATTTTATTCGATTTTGTTTATCCACAGCCGCCACAAAAAAATATATATTGTGACGGAACATTTACTTTCGCAATTTAATTTCATGAAACGATAAATAGTTCGTGGCCAGATAGTTTCGTGAGGTGTTTGAAAATGCGCACGTTGCCAGTGTGGGCGCACTATCGTATAGTCCGCCCGCGATCTGTGCGGGCGGGTGACGGCTTTATGGACGCCGCCCGCCCTCAGCTGCCTTATTGTTTTAACAGCCCATAACTATTTACGAGTTGCGTCCTGCCACGCGACATTATGCATATCTTGTGATTTCAACTGTCTGATGAGAGTGCGCTTTCTTCTATTTCTATAATAGTCGATAATGTCTATTTATTTTTATTTATAAGCAAAATCTTATATTTTTTATTATTGCATTGCTGTAAACTTTGTTTTTGTAGTCAGGTTAACAAAGAATTTACTTTGTATAAGCAAATAAGAATATTTGTTTTGATTTACTTATTTTGAAGTACGGAAAATCATAAGATATTTTCACTTTCTTTATTAAAGATTTGAATAGCAACAAAACTAAAATTTTGACACATTTGTAATGTCAATACGTATTTGTTGGCAACCAAACAAAGGCTTACATTGAATTAAGTCGACGAATCAGTGACGCGTAGTAATAAGCGAAAACTGTCAAAAGGAATAAGCGCGGAGGAAAAGATGCTTTGGTACAGCGGCCACGCGATGCAAGAAGACACGTAGAGTAACCGGAGAAGGCATTGTGCAGGCGCGCAGTGCGTTGCGACCCCCCCCTCCCGTGCTTCCCGCGCCCCGCACCCCTCCTCGCTTTCACACGCTCGCGCACAGGTGTCCGGTGTCGCCCTTGACGCCACTCCCAAGTTCGTTCAATGCATTTATACTGGCCATCCATCACAACCTCCATCGATTTTCCATCAGTGTTTAATTTATTTTTTTAACCAAAATATTTTTCCTAACATCAATTGGAAAGGAGGAAGTAATGAAAATTCGATGTTTGATAAATTAAAAAAAGCTTAAAGCATTTAGTATAAAAATAAAAATACATTTGAAAATCTAAAGAAATGCTTGTTTCGCGGAAGTCCTAAAATTTGATTGCTGCCTACAATAGGTAATGAAATATGTAATACTATTTAAAACGCATAGTCAATACCAGCTCAAATTTTATTGGTGGTATGATTTTCTTGCACTGTTTTGTATTACTTAAAGCACTGTTACAAGCATAAACATGATTTGTATTATAGTTATATACCATCTTTTTATTTAGATAAAAATCTAAAGTTTTATGTTTCTTCCTACAAATTTGAGCTAATTACCATAACAATCAATAATAACTCTAAAGACGTGAATACACGTAACACTTCCATTTTTTATATCAAAGTATTTTATCTTTCGAGACATACAAAATTCCTCCTTGTTTAGGCATTAGTTGACTTTGAATAACAACGTCAACAAAATAAAAAAACACAAACCAACATCGAGATAAGCCAAAAAACCTTGACATTAAACTTGGCCCGGCCGCGCGAATTAATGGCTTCCATGTTTTTATTTTCCTTGAGATTTAATTTATTGACACTGTTTGTGGCAGCAGCGTCACTCATTACAAATGCTACAGCCCCCCGTTAAGTAATGTTAGAATGTGTAAAGTGTCATATATCAGAGATGTTTACTCCGAGTCGAGCGATTAATAAACGACCATTCTAACGATGACGCAACTACTGACTTTGTTGAACCCTTACTTTTTTAATTCACATTATTTAATTAATTCACGACCTGTATATTGTTATTAATTCACAACCATATGTAATTAGTTAAAATAGCACGCGTTGATGTCTAATCGATTGAAAAATTTTACATAATCTAATTATTTTCAAAAAAAATTAACCTGTATTTACATAATCATTATGATTGCGTATTTAATAGCAAGAAATTTTATAAAAAACAATAAAATATTATCAAAAATATGATTTTCCTATAGTTTGTGACCAACAACGCTTTGCGCAGGCGTTCGACGAGTCTCATCGCGCAATTAACATGCTAATGAGCACGCTCCCCGATATCATCGCAGTAATTATGTCCGTATGCGACTATATTGTACCAAGCTTATAGTATTTCCTCTTAGTATTTCAGATATGGCGACACGCATACGCTATATTATTCGTTACCTCAAAGTACATAGACTCTTAGGCAGGTTTTCTTACCTATTTGTTACGATGCTAACACAGAGATTTCTCACGAATTTTAACGATTTCCTGTTACTCAAACTTAGAGTTGAGAGTTTCATCGTCTTAGATAGCTTCATAATGGTTTTATTTAAGCGCGTCTCTCGGAATCGTTGTATCAGTTGTATCTTTAATCTGGTTAATGTCGGAATGTGTCATTACGGCTACGTAGCGTAATGCGAGGCTCTAGCAATGAGCAGCGAGGTGTCTCCGGTCGGCGCCACAGATGTATTATTTTTAGAAGGGCCGATTGATAGGTAAGGCGGTGTGGGCCGCGGTTATTTATGCAAATGTCCTAACGAGATGTAATGGCGGGTAGCGGGGCGTGCGGCTCCCGCCTGCAGCCCGGTAATTAGGTCCCGCGCGCCGCACGCAACCCCCGCGTGTTACTGTGTCGCCTCGAGCACGACTATGTTTTTATGTGAATATCGTGCCTCCGACGCTTCTAAGCGCTACCGTCCACGACATGACGCCGCACTGCTCCCGTGCAAAAACTAAGAAGTCATTGTTTCATTATTCATCTTAATTTACTCACAATTACATAATCACGCTAACGTGTCGGAACCAATTCTTATCTTTATGCGGATAATTACTTACCGGCATCTAATATTCTCTGTTTGACCGAATGCTGTCTTCCATGCCAGAATTGCCACGCTTTTATTTCATCTTCAGGTGATTTTTCTTCTCGGAACATTAGCATTACCACACTCTGGAACAAATTAAAAACTTTAATAAAACATACGAAGCTAATAATATAACACTAAACTAAACAAATATTAAATTTAAACAGAAGGTATCTATCCTCTGTTTTAAATATAGCAAATTTAAAACAGAGGATCTATATCATATTATTTATGCTTGACTTTTAATAGCGAAAGTACCATTGAGCGCCGTAAGCATTTCGCGAAAACGCAAAACGCTATTACCGACGCGCATTTCTCAGCTATTACGCTAAACGAGCGCGATTACGTCGTTACGGCGGGCATCTAAATATTGCCAACGATTAAGCGCACTTTAAAAAGTTACGTGAAATCTTTTGACGATTTCCGTTCAGTTGAAAAAGTAAAATATGCTGTTAGGACGATTTCTATAGACAAGTTAGAAAACGAAGTGAAAAAGAAGTAGTGGCTTGCGCGAGGCGTGGTGCCAGCCGGACCTTATAGGGCTAACGACGAGAAAGCCCCGTGATCGTCGCGCGGATTGATGGATCGCGCGACCAAAGCTGGCTGCCCGAGTGTTTCGCGCTCCAACCGTACGATGCGCTTTTAAATCACATGCAAACACGAGCTGCATGCTGCTTAGATATGTCACTATAAAGTATTCTATACGAAACATGTGTAATGACAAATGTAGCAAGAGTGTCTTGAGAGAACTATCACCCATATTTTCTATTTGAATATTAATGACGCTTTAATATTCAAATAGAAAATATGGGTTGGTTAAAACTATCAGTATTTCTGTGAAAAAGGTTGGTCGTATAAAGTCAATAGATCTATGCATCCATCCATCTATAGACGGTTAGTATATAAAAATGTAACTGTTCACTCAACCTTCCAACATAAGTCCGTCCCACTGCTTATAATAAATAAATATAAACATTTACTACTTTATTATAATTCCTTCAGACTAAGGAGGCATTTGACGAAATACATGCATAATACATGCGTAACTGTAAATTGAAATCGTTATATTATCGCAGTTTTAGTATTCAAATCCATGACAAGCTGGTAGAAATTTAATTGAGGTTTATTGGACGTTGATATTTTTATTATCTGTGCCCCGAGCTATTATCAAGATACTAAACAAACCTTAAGTAGTCTACTTTTGTTTATTGTATTGATATTAATGATTCATAAACATTTACTAACAGATTTATTGTCTAACAAACAAGGTATCTAATGCTTTACGTAATTTACTCGCTAAAATCGCAATAAAATCGAACAATCGCAGCTATTGTTGCCTGACAAAGACACATTGTACTAACTAATAATTCTAAATATTTTGAATTGTGTAATTTATTATACGCCTTATTTGAGATCTATTATCTTATGTGATATATTATATGACAATGGCTTTGTTATCTACATATAGTTTATTATAAAAATGATAATATATCTTCAAATCGAATTTATTAAAAAAAACGAATACGTCATCGAGATATCATTAACGCATCTAGAAGTATAAATATTCAGTTAAATCATTATTGTACAAGGGATCCACAATTTATTTGCAAGATTCTTAAATTATGGTAATATGAATTCTATGTTTATAAATATATTATATTTCTTGAGAGTCACAAGGACGACGAGTCTTACATTTTTTAACTATAAAAATTGATAAACGATAAGTCATTTATTTTCCAGTAAAAAAAACAATAGTATATGTTCATGCTGATTAAAAAGTTATGACCACTGTTGTTATTAAGTTTCCAAACACCAACGCAGCTGTGCAGCAGAGCTTAGCGGATAGGGATTTTTCAATATTGTTGAGGTATATAATATTTGATGTTTTGTATTCACAAATACTATATTGATTAATCTCAAAGAAAACTGCTGAATTGATTTATGAACGATAGATTTATTCATTTGTGGCTCATTTAAATTATTCGATTCTATATTTCTAATCCATTTCATTGGCCTGTGATTAATTTAGCGACGCATAAGATGGGTCGAGTGACAATCTGATCGGATCGGGAAGCGTTAGATTATTGGCAGTGAGCTCGTGACAAAATGTGCAAAAGTTTTCGAAAGCTTGATTTTCAGTATGCTGAAGTTTTAAGGGTAAGGGTATCACTCAATTCCTAATGCGAAGATCATTTTCGTGAGCAACATAATAACAATTTTCATAAAATCTGTATTTTCTTGCAAAATTTATTTTATTAAGTTATAACTGTACAAAACTATATCTATGCAATCACAGTCTCCGTGCAATAAATTATGAACAGATTGAAGGATTATTATTATGATAATATATACAATAAATAATAAATATGAACAGTATCATGATAAAACTATTTAAATAATACTCACAAGAAATATTTCGTGTGTTCTGATTATGCCGATAATATTAAAAGAGTAGGTACCATTTCGACCCAATTACAGGTAAAATTATAAAAAAATGTGTATTACCAACATTCGCCCGTACACTAATTACACCTTTTACAGAAAGCGGTCGCCGAGAATTCTGAAACGAGTGCACATTTATTTTTTGATATAAATATCGAACGGCTGTTATGTTTTGTTTCGTTTCACAAGAACCTACTTAGTTTTGGTTTTTCGGCCCATTCGGCTACATGTTTTTGGACCGTCAATTAATTAATCGAGTGTATCGACATTCGACCCGATTTCAGGAGCTCGGTTGACAATCTCAGTTATCTGATTAAGTACGCTTTCTCTCGCTCCGCGTGCGACAAGCTCGCTGTTGTGGCCATGTGTCGCCCGCTGATTACGCTCTGACAGCCACTCCACATTAATTTCGTCACTCTATTTGAATAAATAAGCAATTGCATACATTTCACATGGAACTGCGCAATCAGATGATCTGTATCTTGAGCTCATGTGTGACAGCCCGCGATCATTAATCTATTCGTGCCGATAGTACTTTACGTAATGCTTTTGTTCCAATGAATATCGTATGTTGGTTTGTTTATAAAGGACACCGCCCAGTATAAAACAAATACGTGTTATCTTAATACAAAATTGTATGTAGGTTCTGTCGAATTACAAAAAGATTTATGCTAGAAATTCTTGTTTTTTAAAACATATTATTGTCTGCTGAATATATAGTCAGATTAAGAGTTGAATGCGTGATAAATTATCTAATTAAGAATGGTGCTTGAGCGTGTATCCACTTTATTAGAATATCGATGTCTATTTCTCATTGATGCTGTACATTTTACTTATGAAGATTCTCGCTAAGGTCTCGTGCACCTGTCTTATTGTTACCCATAAATTGTGAGTTAATGACGCCGTTAACGTATCAGTGAAACAATTACTTTAGATATAATCTGTTTGTGTTACGCTCTTGTGGGTTTTTATATAACTAATGAGTAGTGTCAAACGAAATATTGAGGTGGGAGAATCACATCTTTATAGATCATCAATGTAATAATTAAGCAACATGGCATAGCCCAGCGAAGTTGGCGAGCAGAGGCGCAGACTTAGAGGGGGTTTTTGCCCTTCACGGAACTTCCTAGTTATTCAGGGCCGAGCTCACCGCTCATCCATCAGCCCCTATCTGTTTTATGACAATTATTTATGTTCACTGCGTGGCAAAACTATTTCGCTTACCGTTGAGCTTTATCGATAGAGCAGAAGTAATGTCCTGCGGTCCCGATACGCCGTATCTGATACGGATACGTCTGTTTGTTAAGTGCACCAGTTGTCTGTGCTGGTTGTTTTAACGCCTAGGTTATTTGCTGCGAGTGTACTCTGCAGTGAATGTCGGTTTCGACATAAATTCTGAATGAAACAGTGGGTGTAAGTAACTACGGTGCAGTCGCCTGCCATTTGCAGGACGGTATTTATATTAAGTGAAATGAATACGCACTTGTTTGTCAGAAGCGTGTTTTTGCTTAGTGATATTTTATAATCCTTGCAATAGACTCGAGTATCGGCGAAATTCGAACATGCGCAAGAGTTGGAAATTAAATGAGGTTGTAATATGTATACGTGCATGTTCATATGGAGCAGTTGCCTCGGGCACAGCTTGGAGCCCGCAGCTTCCGACGGCGCAGACAAATTGCCCAGTGTTCCGTGCATCCGGCGCTAGATTCATTGCCCCCTAATTATGGATATTCTTGCTAGAATAATAATTTCTATAAACATCGATATTGCCATTACAAATACTGCCTATCAAATAAATATGGATATTAGACAATATCACATAACTTGCTCAAACCCCAAGTTACCCAAATAGAGCTCTTTTATTGTGGAAATACGAAACAACGAAATTACCACAACCACCAGACCCGAGACAATATATAAAAAATATTTATTTCCTATATCGACCAAAAAGGAGATCAAACTCGGGATCTCGACGCTCTGAAACCGGAGGCCGTCGATTTCACATTTTTTTACATATCACAATAAATAAGATTTAAGCATGTTCCCTTTTCCAAATTATCGTCAATTATACCCCATTTCTTAAGTATTGTATCACTCACACCATATCAGAGTAAAACTGAGCTTACGTTAAAGTTTACATGTGTGCGTGTGATTGCGTTAATTACGAGGTTCTCATTTGCCGCTAAATCTCAATTGAATCGGAGCAATTCCCGCAATCCGTCGGGCGTCGGATTAACATCCGAAGTGGCATCGCACCACTAATCTGCTTAAATGTCGAAAGGAAATGTCAGATTGTAAAGTGCAGTGTTCTGGACGAGTGTGATGCGGCTTAAGGCACCGTACCTACCGCTTAGAGAGTAGCCTTCAATCACGCTTTGCTCAATCAGTTTGTGTGGCGAGTACCGTATATGACCACACCATAATATGACAAGCATGCAACAAATGCGCAATAAAATATGAGAGCGATTAAATTATGACACTAATACTTGGTACAACAATAGTAAGCCCAACTTTTCAATAAACAAACCAATATTTTATTTTCTTCAGTTTAGTTCATTTCTGTTTCCAATGAAATAATAACAAGTCACAAAAAGTTATGGCCTCGGTAAATTAACCATTTTGTAAGTTTTGTTTT